TACGCGATGAGAGTTGTTTCGCTGCGCGATGAGAGTTGTTTCTTTGCGCGGTGAGTGTTGTTTCCCTGCGCGGTGAGTGTTGTTTCTCTGCGCGGTGAGTGTTGTTCCACTGCGCGATGATAAAAGCAACACGTGCCGCTCTTACTATAATGTAGCAGAGTGTTTGAAGTTGTGAAAAATTCCTTCGAAAATGTAAATTTGCCCATCCCAGGGCCCTATATCAGTGGGAACATCAAGCGAACGGTTGGCGGTCCAGTTGATGTTGTCGTTGCTATTATATTTATCGTTATTTTGTTTCTAAAAATATAGCACTCTACTCATTAGGTCACATCATGTGTTTTAACCCCACTTGTGGTGTTTGAATTTTAGTTTTTGTTTTGGCGTATTAGCAAAGGTGGCCTACAGGTCGTATGTCTACAAAATTATTCAGCAGATGATGTACATCAATGTAATGATTTTCACCGCTATTTTCCCTGAAGACGAAATGTGTAAACACATTTGCGAAAATCTATCAAAGGGTAATATATTATCGCTGTTGTGCGATCGGTTAGCTGGAAAAGAGAACGAAATTTCATTCAAACTTTTTTAACCTAATTTTGTACCCAATTATCAATCCAATAAATTTTTGTGGAGTGTTTCCCTGAAATATCCTTGATACAATTCGGAAGACAAACAACTCTCATAAATATAATCCTTGCAAGGCTGGTAACTGTTAATTTGAAATTTTATTTTAAAACAAACGGATAACAAATAGCATGTCACTAGCGTTTTGTACACTGAAGTCACCTGTGTCCATATTGGTCAACTTCGAATTTTTGTAAAAATCTCTTTGTGAAGTGTTCCTTGTCCGTCCATGGAGGCCAAAGTCACCCACTGAAATGTTTGTTCCATTTTCTTAAAAACACTGATAGCGAAAACAAATCATGTAAAACTGAAGTTCAAACAGGCGAGGTCCGAAAATTAGGCATAAAATCGGTCAAAGACCCCCCGGACACTGTGCAAGGCGTATCAACAAACGTCAATAAATCCTCAAGCTAAAACGTGAACTCAAAACAGGATACAATACAAATGCATGAAACTAGACTTGAGGTTGCAAGCTTATGTGTCTCTGAACCAGCCTCAACTGATCTGCAGTGTCTACAACGCATTAATCTACAGACTTGGAATATATTGTGCATACTTAGAAAAGCTTTACATGCACCAACGTTTTGGGTAAAAAACCCAAACCTATCAACTCAGTGGAAAAGAAATTGTTATGTGTGTACATCGCATATCGTGCAACTCTACAATTAAAAAAAAATGAATATATAACCTTTGTGGTCTCGTTTGCAGAGACGGTTTCTCTCTCCCATGATACATATTTATCACACTTTACATGACACGGTTTGCAAAAACTCGACAAATGTGAAATATTACCCTCCAAACTTTAAGTGTCCTTTCAATTCATCACCCTGTTACTTTTGAGGTACAAAGATTTGGCAATAAATGGTCTCTTTTCACGTGCAGGTAAGCAAAAGGGACATTGAGGGTCCAAATTTCTTGTCGTTACGAAAACAAATGAGAAAAAATGATATCCAGGAGTGAGCTGACCGATTATTTATGAGGGTGAAACTGCGACTAATGGGTATATAGCCATGTCTGCTGGGTATCGGCATTTTGTGCGGAACATCATGGGGCCCTAAACGCTAGGGAAGAGCGTATTGATTACGATGGTCAAGTGCGAGTCTACGTGGCACCTTGAGGTTTGTTTGTCCATCGTGTCGTTTTCGTCCAGCCTGTTGTCAGAGTTTACAGAATGACTAACACTGACGCTTTGTAGTAGGTAGTGGTGTTTTGTAAATGGTGTGTACTACCTTTAAGGCGTTCCTTCACACAATGTATTGTTGATCATGCGTCTGTTCATCTTTGGACCTGCCGTGCATATGGTGTGGTTGATTTGTTTAAAGAAATATACATGACTGACGTGGCAATGTACATGGTCACCGCTGACACTTGGCCTTTATAGACATTGGACTGTATTAATACCGGCAGTTTGATATTATCGTTGGTCGTCTTATTTGTTTCCTGTTTTTCAAATAGATACTGGCAAAAGTACAACAGCAGAAAAGAGTACAGAGAAAAGGTCCCAGTCAGTCTGACACAAATTCAGGAGAGTGTGTTTATTTAGGAATACCGGTACATGCCCACATTGGGTCCTTCCACAGAGAACGAAACCTATCTAGTATCATGCAACCTGTCTAGTACAGCCTTTTTCCTAAGGGTTGGGGCTTTTGTGGAATTTTTTTTATACTCCTTAACTTGGCATCGCCACTTCCGCGTGTGTTCTCCATTCCATTTGCTTCGCCAGTTTTACTTCAAGCCGAGCCACGATGGCTTTAGCGAAAGGCTTTATAAGAGGAGTAAACACGTAAAGTCAGTGAACACGAAAAGGAATAATTAATTCTGTTCAATGGGTATACTTTCTTGTATTACCTGCAGTCTGAGTTGCTATCGTGCATCTGAAACATTTAGAATTTCTGGTTTATGATAATTTGAAACCAGGCATGGGTGTGAGGGGGTTGTAACCATGCATTTCTAACGCCGAGAGTACATGAGGTGCGGTCTGAAAGTCAACATGTAGATTTTTGACGGACGACCCCTGCAGTGATTAACATTACCATGGAACAGTCGAGGATTAAAGGGATTATAGACCCATCGCTACCACCTTCTCTAATCAATTTCCAAAACAGTTTAATTTTTTTGACCTGCCCAAATAATCTCTGTATGCCGGTTCCCTGTCATACCAATAACATGTACGGTAGATAATCTCTGAATACTAAAATAAAGTATGACGTTATGTCTAGGGTGTGCCTTCAATTTTTAGTTGACGCGTGCTTGCACACCGTTCCGTTATTTTTGAAACAGTAAGCGTAATCGAAGTTCTGCAGTATTGGAGATCAATAATAAATGCAAAATACCAAGAATTACTCGGGGATTTTTAAAGAATTGTAGTGTATGTGGGGAAATTTGCGAAGAGGGGTAGGTTATATACACCAGATACATGTATCTGCGAATATTGACGACAGAACTGAAAATCAATGACATAGATCTCAAAAACTTCTTCCAGTTTAAAAAAATGTTCGGAAACGGGAGGAATAGACCGATTTCGGCAAGTAAGTCGTGGCCTACAGATTGGTTATCAAACATCAACAAACGTGGGGGTCCCCATAGCAAAGTATGTTATTTCAAATCAGTGGTTAGTGTGTTAAATTTTAGATTAATGAACAATTTATGGTGAAGTTATTTGACGAAGAAGAAAAAGCAAAATATGCCATCAGCTCCTGCTGGATTTGGAAATTGAGCGGGCATCGTTTCCTCATTTACATACACCCGGCAGGATTCTGCTGGATTCATTACCCGCTACCGGTCCATGCATGGGTCATCGCATCCATCCCCACATACACTGCAAGTGTCATTTACCAAGAATAAAGTTGACGGTTAGGAAACTGATACTCAGACTACTGATGTGCTGAGTGCTGTACCGAAAATATGCTTTATTTTTGGTAAACAACACTTAAAACACAAATTGCTATGGGAGGACGCCATGTTTGTTGACATTTTATTGGACTGGTTCCCGTCCCATCCGTAGTCTCCAGACGTCTTTCAAACATAGGAACCGGTAGCGGGTAAAGAATCCAGCAGAATCCTGCCGGGTGTATGTAAATAAGGAAACGATGCCCGCTCAATTTAAACAATCCAGCAGGAGGTAATGGCATATTTTGCTTTTTCTTCTAAGTCAGAATAACTTCACCATAAAGTTTTCATTTATCTAAAATTTAACCCACTAACCACTGATTTGAAATGAATTGCCGTAAAATAATTTGTCGATGATAATCATTAAAAAACAAGTAAAAACAAATTAACTGTGATCAACAGAAGCTTAGCAAGACTAGGAACTTGTGTTTTATACTCCTCAGCGCGTATTTACGTATTTCATGGTAAAGCATTGCTACTGGCCTGACAAAAACTTAAATATTCAGCATCCAAATTGACCAGAGTAATCGCACACGGTAAACTACAGCTTCAGTTCAGTCTTCCTCGTAAACTTTATCAGCACCACACTTCCAATGACATAAGTCTGTGTTTTTGAATAAAACACTGTAGAGCGTATTATCATTGTGTCACGGTGTCTTTTCTTCAACTCTGGCCTCGCAAATAATTTCTAATCAAATCCACAGATTACATTCTCAAGCACGTAATAATGATTGATGTATTGTATCTTAGAATGGATTTGAAAATAATTGTAAGAAAGATCAGAATCAGAGCAAGAAAAGCTAAAACATTGTTATGGCTGCTGTTAATGTTATTTATTTCCTCGAGCTAATGCTGACTGTTGGTCGTAACACTCTTTCTAATTACATTTGTTCTAAAAAAAGTTAGAAGGAATGCATGAAAAAGAACACGAACAGAATCAACACGTGCAACGTACAGCGTATACTTCGCAAGCACAGGGGACGGAAGTGAAAGAAAACAGTAAAGGCGCCCTCTTAAACACCATGAAGTAAAGGGCGACAGTGCACGACGCGTCGCGTCGTCCTTCGTGCCGTGCGTCGCGTCGTGCTTCAGGCGACGTAATACGTGACACGACGCACGACACGACATATGACGCGACGCGTCACGGTGTGACACGACGGGCAAGCGGAAGGAGCAGAAAAAATGCAACCAGGAAGGGACGTGAAACAGCACGATGCGACGCAGGACGCGACACGTCGTGTGTGTGCAAATGTAATGGCAAGAAGGCGACGATGCGACGCGACGGCACGACGCAAGGCAGCCGTTGTACCGTTGCGTTGTGTGGTTGCGTCGCCTTGGAAGAGGCTAGATAGAGGCAGAAATGTGTGTCATAAATAGTACACTGTATCGTGATGATTAAATCAACACTGAAAGAAAGGGTGTCACGTGAGTGTGGACGCGCAACATTAACTTTAGCGTGCTGTCATGCCATTTTGAACGAAGCAAGATTCTTGTGTCATCTCACGGTAATTCGTCCAAACAAACACTGCCGTTTTGTGGTGTTGATAGAAAAAGGGTACGGCTAAATCAACGCGTTATTACAAAAGACCATACTCACGGGGTGTTTTCAGAATTTATCTTATTTATTTTAATATGTTAAGTTGGGTGGCACAAGTCTAATTGGGGTTCTATGCCTCTCTTTCATCTTTTTAATGTGGCTTAAAACATTTAGATATAAATAACCACAAATTTAAAATTCTTCATCAGCATATATAACATTAATTTGTAATGAAGTTTCATTTCAGTGCTCTTCCTTTTATTTCCAAATGCTCAAATAAAAAAGGTAACCTCGCATTCACTTAATATGGCCAAATTGTGAATATATTGTCACCAACACCACGAACTGACACACATCTTCACTTTTGTGCCAGTTCGTGAAAAGCGTGATTAGAGCAGTTTTGGTTTCACGAAGTGACAGAAATGTGTGCGCGCATATAGTACTCTCGTGCATTATCGAACAATCTCGTTTTCACGAAGAAGCACAAATGTGTGTTTTGTCAATACAACATAGAAAAAAAGGGTTAAATGTCTGAAATGATTTTATTTTACCCGTAAATGGGTGACTAAACTGAAAAAAAAATGCTCTCACGGCAAATCACGGATCACGTGACGAAAGACATTTGTGCCTCTTCGTGAAAACGAAAATATCACATTTCTATAAAATACGCGTTGAAGTGCGTACACATCTATAGATTTGTGTTACTTCGTGGTGTTGGTAACGATACACACTTGTGAAATTCCCAGGTTACGGGCCTGTTCTTGGTCAACTCTACCTTTGAAACTGCTGCAGAAACCCGTTTTAGATCATTTTATGTTAAAATAAGACTTTGAATCCAATCGATTATTTTGACGATTATATCGACTGTATAACATCCTTCCCACTTTTCAAAGTAACATATCGCAGCATGTTGGCAAAAGAAATCCTGTTCAAGCTGGCCTGCTATATACGGAAGCCAGTTGGTACCAAGGTGCAGGATGCTAACTCATTTGAACACCAGTTGTCACTGCCGTCAGACAGTTGAAGTCAAGGCGTCTTAAAAAGATTATGGAACTTCTCAGCTCTGCCGTTCTGATAACACACTTCCATTGTAACATGTTTCTGCTAAATAAGTGGCGGATGTTAGAAAATTATGTTGCAGCCGCCAGATAAGTATGAGACGGGCGCCAGAACTTGGTTTGATAAAATTCAGGCGCGGTTCAAAAAAAACTCTTATCCCATCCCTTGGCACTATCCGGCTTCCGTAATTCTACAGCATAAAGATGTACTCGTGTATGCGGTGCACTTTCTCTGCAGTCTTACGCGGACGAGAAGTTTGTGTACAGCTATTTCAGGAATTCAATTAGAATTTTGAACAGGCATACGCCACAACGTTCTCACGCCTCAGTGTCACATAACAATAGACCCACACATTCGCTATTTGTGGAGACGCTCCCAATAGAATTCATGTGGCGCCTTGCGAGGACCAGACAAAATGTCGTTCATTTTGATAAGACCCATCCTTTGGATTCTACTGGGCAAGGATTTGGTAGTCTCCGCCATCTTACCTGACTTCCCCATCGCACCATTTTCACCACCTGATGCTCTAGAAGCGACCACTGGTCCATCTGATGTCGAAACAGACACGACAGCGCCCCCCATTCCTTACGGACCAATGCCCTTCGATCGACTTGGTCGAGCCCAGCTACTGCAAGTGTATAACACGGGGAGAACTTCTGTAGACCCACCGGCTACTGACATGAATAAAGTGGTAAGTGCATTTATATCACCATGGAATTTTTACCAATTACTTAAGATAAAAAGGGAGTCTGTACTGAAGATGAAAAACAAACTAAAGGGGCTATACACAATTTAAATAAAATTGTACCAACCCACTGTATACTATGTGGAATATAAATACGAAAGCATGTAAGATCAGAGCGCTGATTAGGCGCACAGTAATTGGTTCTTCAAAGGTGCCGATATACACCGTATTCCCTGACATGCATTGGGCACACACTCCAACAATCTCCAAACCATGATGAATAAAAAATCTCACTGTATTCGACATAGGGGTTTAGAATAATTGTGTGTCGTAACCTTAGCAGCAAACATTGTGCGTGCATGCCATCATGGTCGTGAGATCGAAATTCGGCTTTCACTTGTAATATATGAATTATAGGAAAAAAGGATTTTGTACGTAGTACAATAATTCTTTAAAAGAAGGATTAAGTTAGGGGTGTTAATAACTTCATAAATTGTGATGGTCTGATGTGGAATTCTTTCCGTGCTTTGCATTGTACATGTCATGTATTGGGTCACTTTCTGTATTACTTTTTAGATGTTTTAGCATGTGTAAAAGATTTTCTTAAGACGGGAGGAACAAACTAAAACATAAAGTGGTCGTGGATGTATCGGCAGCTCCACACCTGTTGGAAACAGCATGTAGTTAACTGGGCAAGGCATTCCATACGTTTGCATTCATTCATTGTTGGTTGATATTATGTTCATCCAGGTTTGGAGTACTGAGCTCGCTGAAGCAGCTGGGTCTGCCCTGGAAACCTGCGTGTATGAGATTGTTCACGCTCAACTTATTTCCGATGGTCTGTGGTTGATTCAGATGGCAAGCTACTCGGATATTGATGTTCACCTCAGCGACACATTGACGCAGTGGTTCACCTTTGGCGACTACTATAACTACCATCAGAAGTCTTGCTCTGCACATTCCCAAGCAATTTGCAACATCTACAGATTGGTACCAATTCTCACCTTTGGTGCTAGCAAACAGCCCTGTTCCATTGTTCAATTCATTGTTCAAAGCATGGGCATTGTTTTTGCAATTACAAGCGTCACAGTCGAAGATCTTATGGCAAATACAAATTAAGGTAGCGCAGACAACAGATCTTGAGAACAGTATTGTAATATGGTTGGCGAGTACGAACTCTAGAGTCAACTAGTTTCCATGTGGTCGTAACGAATGCAGACGACCAATGTCAAGACGCACAGGCGTGGAGGCGGTGCGTGACGTCATTCTGTCAAAAAAATTAAACAAAAAGACGTCTGCATGAATATACATATTAATAATCAGCTAGTTTGTTGACGACTTGGGCGTCAGTTTTTAGAAATAAGGAGAAAACGGCCAAAATGCGTGGTACTAAAAATTAGTTAAAAAAAGACATCGCTGTACTCCCGTCAAGCCAGTGAAAAGGTTTGGGCCTATACTCTTGCGACTTCAAGCAGACAGTTAGCAAAGGGTCTGTGTTATAAGCGATAGGAATGATACAGGAAATTTGAGGGAAATAACATTTATTCATTGTTTTATGCTGTATACAGAACGTTTGTGCCGCTGATTAAATCTTCAACATCAATATACACTATATGTTACTGGGCTAAAGCACGTGGAATGGGTTTTTCAGTTGGCAGTTGTTACTTGTTATAATTAATTTTTGTCATCATATCAGTCCTCATGGAAAAATATCGTCAAGTATTCTTATTCCTACTGCAGTGCACACGAACACCAATTAAGCGTCTTTATCGTATTCGTCATATGAGTAATTAACGATGTCGTTTTTCCCTGTTTTCCTTTTGTAGCTTTCTTGGTCTTCAATGTCAGCAGTTGGCTGTTCCCAGCATTACTGTAAAAATCTTCACAATTCCTTCACTGGAGAAACGAAGCATAATCAGCTCTACTGGAAGTGCAATCACAGAAACATGTAATTTGGTTGAATCAAGTGCTTCCTATACTTCGACACATTCGATGGGCTAATAACGTTGCTGCCATTTATGGCAGTCTCTTCAGTATCAGTCAAATATACCATCGTTACTGTCAAATGACATCCCAACTTCATTGAAAAGGTACTGTTACCGAGGAGCCAATAGCAAATAACACTTTATTGCCCAAGTTGGAAGCATTAGGGAATTCTGTGTTCCGTGGCAAGAGATAATACACTCAAGAACGACTTTCAGATGTTCACAAGTTGAGACAGCATGAGCCATCAGTCCTGCAGGGAACGGTTTGTCTCAATATCTCGTGTCGTTTGCTGACGGCTTTTTGGACACTGCATGCATCTATTCGGCCAAAGTTTCGTCCGTTTTATTTATGCCCCTTGCCACAAGTGACGTATTAGTTAAGGCTTTCTTCAGACATAAATAATGTTACCTAAACCATTTGAAACAAGATATGGGACGGAGAACTCCCCCCCCCCCCACACACACACACCTTTGCGTAGATCATCCGAGGAATTCTTTTCACACATCAGGCTAAGGTGATGTAGGTAACAATAGTCTAGAGTGCGGAGAGGGATTGGATGGCTGTGTGAGTGAGTTTGTTTCTACATTCGGTTGGGGACCCTGAACAATAGAGGACAATAAGGTCTCCGATTGACAGAGGGTTCCCGATTGAAAACTGTATACAAAACGTATGGGTGACCTTCTAAAAAGTTAAAGTACAAACAAAAGAGGAACAATAGGGGGTCCCCAGTTACAGGCAAATACACACTTATGGGTGTGTGTGTGTATGGGGGGGTATCCGTCCCATATCTTGCTGGGTAAAGTCCTAGTATAAATGTAAAACGTGTTTATATTACCTATATAAAACAAACGACAGGTAAATTCTTTGCTTTGTTCTCTCAAGTGGGTACTTTACGGATGCAACTCTCAATCCCTACACCAACGGTACGGTCAACGAATCCTGCACGCAGTGTGAGAGTGGCTCCGGTTGGTGTGATAATGGACTATGTAGTAATGAGTGTGACGTAACGACAGCTAACTGCTCATGCACTCTGGATCCACTCTGCAGCGGGAATGGCCAACTGAATGTAACAACATGCGAATGCAACTGCACCGAGAACTGGGTTGGAAACAGCTGTGATCGTAAGCGACAAGCGATAAGATTTTCCAAGCAATAGCTTAGTCAGAGTCATGCAGCTCTTAACTTCCGTTGTTTCAAAGCTTTTGTAGTTGTCGCAAACACTTTTTTCATTCGCTACTATAGTCGCTCTTCAGAATTCAAATTACAGAATTCAGTCTATATTCAACAGTGTCTTTGACCTGAAGAAAGTTACAAGAAAGTGATTCAAGTTTAACTTACGTTGTATCACTTTATAGCCATTCCGATGGTTTATTTAACGAAATATTGAGGTGGTGACACCAAATACATGTTAATTTTTATTATTGACGAGTACATTAAATTATCTGTTGAGCAGACAGAAATGCTGTAAAGCATGAGGTTCTCAAATTTTCTACAGGCTGAATGTCTTGAGGCTCGGCCTTCTCTCTATAATACCCATACTGTGTAATATTTCCCCTGCAGAATGTGCTGTAATGTGTCAGACATACTCAAAACTCAATCAAATCCTGTGCCAGTGTGAATGTCTACGTGGATACCAACTGAACTCAACTACGACAAATTGTGAAGGCAAGTATGACAAATAATGTGTGGTGTAAAACAAGGATTTCCACCACTGAAATAAAACACGTCTCAACAGCAGTCAGTCAGCTAAAAAGTTATCCACCATTAAAACTAGAAGAGGAGAGGATCTGTAGTCCTCAATAGTAAAAGAGAAGATGGAACAGGTGTTAATCATTTTTACCTTTATAAATCTCCCAAGCAATTTGTGAAACCAATTTCGATATAGCTTTCCTTTTACTGCGTTTAGATTTGTGCAAGGAGCTTGCGTTTACTCTTCTTTCCTTCATCTTAAAATATACAACATTTGACTTAAGAGATCAGTCATATTTCAGATGTGGAGCAGTACCTGAGAGTTTTACTGCTTCACAAACATCACCTGAGAGCTGGTTTCTGCTTTGCGTGACAAAACTTGCTTATGCCATGGTCAACCCCATCCGTACTAACTGAAGTTTTGATAGCCTCACTGCTCCAGTTGGTGAACGAATGTTAATTTGCTTCTGTCCCGTTAGCATTCCATGTTAAAATGGGTCATGCAGTTCTCATTTGTTTGGTTTCAGATGTAGACGAATGTCAGGCGTCTCATGGATGTGAACACACCTGTGAAAACACTCAGGGATCCTACATTTGCAAGTGTTTAACTGGGTTCAGTCTCAATGACGACGGTCAGACATGTGCTTTAGCATCCGGGTACTCATCATTTCTGAGTGGTGCTACATCTTTACCAACGACTACGATTGATCTAACCACATCACAACCTAATCCAGGTGAGTCAAGCCAACTTTCTGTGCCAAAAAATCACGCTGAAACAATAACAGTCGTCCCTTGCTTTACAGAATGTATAGTAACAGTGTTCTCTTTGCATCCTAGTTTGTGGTGTGGAAATCGTCTGCAATGGTAGTGGCGTTTTAGATCCTCAGACTTGTGAATGCTACTGTGCCTCCGGCTACAAGGGCAGTGCCTGTGATGGTAACAACTTTTTATATGTTTTGCAAGAAGCAACAATTTAAGCAACAGATATTGGACAAAACGCTGTTTTAATCGCACTGGAAATCTTCACATTCATTGATTATTCCAGAACATGAATCGGGGGCGGATTCAGGAGGTTATAGGGGGGTCTTACAATATGCATAGTACTACATAAGCTACCATATCTACTTGTCGCCATTGGTGAGACCACTTTATGTCTTTGTTTTGTCCTTAACTCTGCACGCGAAATAAGACTCCTACATGGTTTATATTTTCAGCGGGCCTCAATTCCAACCTTAAGATGTAGCCTCCCGCCCCCCCCCAAAAAAATGACAAGGGGTGGGTATCGAAACCCCTCTCCTGCTCTGAGCAAGGAAAAAAAGGAAACGGGAGGAAATTATTAAAAACAAAAAATAAGTAGGTGCACAATACCATTGCAATCAATGTATGCCGTATATAATGTTTCATCATCGTTTCCGATCATCCGCAAAAACCAGACATTAAAACAATCTCCGGCCTGACCTCCCCCCAAAAATTCCTGGATCTGCCAGGGGTTGGCCCTCACCCCCTGGATCCTTTCCTGTGAAACAGCAGTTAAGCAACCTTTGCCCTCTTTCGTCTCCGTGTTTTGTAGGCCTACCTAAGACGGGCATCATGTTAACCGTGCAAGAAACCAAAAAACATTTGCCAGCCACGTTTCCGTGATGTCGTGCAGTGCACCCCTTTGCGGCTTCCCGCTCTTCCACGCAGGGATGTGATTCTGCGAATATAAACATATTTATGATTAACGTTAGACTGGGGAACCACATGCTTAAGCCGCAGAACGCTTAAAATCGCAGAACTAGCAACGGGTACATCATCCATCAGAGGGAAAGTGCAAGTACCCGAAAAAGAATTTAATTTAAAAACGTCAGAATCTTAACCAGCAAATTTTCAATGTGACGTTCAATATGAATATGCACAAATCAACGGACTGTTTTATAAGGCGGGGGAAATTAATATATTAATGGGGTTAAGATTCACTGCGAGCTTCAAATTACGGAATGCACTCGCATCGATTAGTCTTCAACTGCACTCGCACCTGCGTGCTCGGAATACTCGAAAAGCATTCCTACAAGAGAGATACGCAATCCGTTTACAAGTCATTGCAATTTATCATACCTATGCTAGACTTTTCCTTCGCCACTTTGGATCTACCGAGTGCTTTGAATACAAGACAGTCACAAAGTATTCAACACAAGGCTGGCAGATTTGTCATGGAGGACAACAGCAGAATATAAAGCTTCTAGACACTGTAAAGTAAACTTGACACACTCCAGAATCGATGATTAATTATTACATTTTACAAAGAAACAAACGGACTTACAAGTAACATAGAGGATGTGTTACCAACCCCCCTCCCCAAAAGGGGTGGACCACTTTTGTATAAAGTCCTCTTATCGCTACTAGTAAATGTTATTGTCACTTTTCATTAGATCCCATCCCAGAGTGGAAGCTTTATCCTAATATTCGCTCTGCTCCAAACACCAAGACTTTCAAACCGATCCAGAACCATCCCACTTCAACAATACCAAAAACTCAAATCAAAACACAATTAAAATGTAGTGGCTGCTACATGCCTGACCTTGACCAACGTGTAGTTGATAAGGCATTTGTACATGGGAACTGGAAACAGAATCACATTGGATTTACCATCACAGGGTACACGTTAAATATTAATTATATGCTATTGAATCGAACGTACTGAATCAGGGAACAGTTTATTGGAACGAAGTTGGACGAGGTTAGATCATTGTTTGTCACCATAAGAGCTGATTCACGTACTTTTCGTTACAATTACTGTCTCAGTGTGTGGCATATGAGGAGCTCTTTTTATGTATTTGCTTTTTATATTAGTTCCTGAAAGGTACAAATAACAGATGGCTTTCGATAATACAAAACTTGTATGCAAAACTCCCATAATGGTTTGTTCTAAAACAGAGAAATTTAATCGAACGCTACTAGAAATATATTAGGCTTCGCGTTATGCAGAAAAGTAGGAACGGCCAAGGAAGAGTGGAGAGTCTCCATCAAGTTACCCTCCGAACAGGAAAAATCGAAACATGTAATACCAAAAGGGTCATATGCATGTTGTGTTTGGTGCTCCAAAGGTTCCCCCTTTGAAATGTTCAAGGAAAATCTCAATTTCCCAGATTCAAATAAACCGTGCATACATGTATATAGAGCCATTGAAATGACCAATTTCCATGGGTGTATTACTACAGCAATATTTGCTCCTCTGTGTCATATTTCTATCGTTTGTGTTTTCCGTTTCAATAGAGCAGTGCCCGATAACAGACAGAGAATGTTGGTCAGGCTATAGGCAGCCACCAGCCGGTTTGGGTACTGATTATTGCCCAGTTTACTGCTTTGGATGTGGTAAGTTTTGCAATTATTTATACATTACATGCATGACTTCTTGTCATCTGATTGGTGCGTTGTATATCAAATGATATGAAATATTTCAAACCAATGTATGGAGTGCGCACCCAACGCAAGAGCAGTGCAACAGAGCCACGCTTGAGCTCTTTGGAGTCAAACGAAAAATGCACGCTGTAGACATTTTCAATCCACATTGCAGTCTGTGTGCTTTGGGTTAACCTTTTTACGGAGCCGGGAGCCGAATTTTGACATTTTGCGAGAACTATACAATACTTTTAAGCAGTTGGTCCTAAAATGTGCTCAATGTAACAGGTGTAAAGTTTAAACGTTTGGCAGGGGGCTTTTTTCGACGCAGTTCTGATTTTTTTTCCCGATTGCTTATCGTTTCTTGCAAGACATCTTTTTGACCCACAAGACGCCTTCTTCACTGCACGACAAAATGCTTCCCCTGGAACGGACAAAAAGTATCCTTTCTGCCCTTTACGAGTTGCCTTGTCAATATCTGTTTCGACTCCAACTGCTAAAATGAGTATTTTGGGCAAACCTCTTTTTATCAGCATGTCAACAGTCAGAGAATGCTTGTGAAAACAACGGCACTTATTCGAAGGTTCCTGGGTACGAGCTGCACAACGGTATGTGCCGTTGCTACTGCCCATTTCCTTGGAGCGGACTCACGTGTGAAGGTAAAATAACCGCTGAACTGTGAAGTCAGCAGAAGTCAATTAAATCAAATCAAAAAAGTTCATTAATTTTGATTTCTGCCCTGCCCGACGTGGAGGGCAAACATTCAAATTAATTAACATATCCCCGGCGCAAATCCATCCTTGGAAATCAAGAAAGCTGTTATAAAGACTCAAGATAAACGGAGTTTTTTCCCCATACTGTTTTGTGGTAATGTCCATTCGTTGAGTCGAGTGTAGTTTTCAGTTAGCTTCTTACATTTTTCATTTGAATCCTCTTTGAGTTGACAACAGACAAGGGAAACCAGAGGTGGGCATAAATCCCGGGGGATGGAGGTTTTATATCCCCCACTTTTTGAGGTGGAGGTGGGCCATTGAATCATTCAATCCGCCCCCCACCCCACTTTTTGTGAAAAGCAAAAAATTAAAGCAGATTTTGATGAAGTTTTAGGATTAAAATGTAACTCACCAAAGCGGGAAAACAATTTTTTAAAGTCGTAAATATGCCATTCTGATATAAGATTCTGCATAAATTTGATACACATTACAGATGTACATCTTTACCATGGACATCGCCCCTCATGTATACGGAGTATAGCCCTCCCACTTTTCAAATTTCATGGCCGGGCATATCATCCCCCACCTTTCCCCACCCCCACCCCCACCCCCACCCCCAATTTCCAGCACAGATCTACGCCACAGACCAGAGGCTTCATCAGTTTCTGTAAACCGTTTTTCCCTCAAGCTTACGAGTTTCAGTGCATTTCAGTCCTTTCAACATCTACTGGAGGCAAAGTCGAATTGTTACACCTGCTGGATGCTCTGAGTAATAATTCCGAGGAAAGTAAAAACGTTGCTTGAAAACATGACATAGGTGTTGAAAAATGTAATACATTTTTTTAACAATTTTCGTATTAGATTTGTCATTCTTGTATTTCAATATAGAATGTAACCTGTCTTGTTACAATGGAGGAACTCTTGATCCTTCGACTTGCACCTGCACCTGCCCCGTGGGATACAGACCACCGGACTGCTCAGGTACGTTATACACAAATCGGTCACTACACCACGTTACTACTGTGCAGAACCTTTATTTTTTTTTAGTTCGGCACGGCAGTAGCACGGCGCCAATTCGGCTCGACAAACTGCATTCGACACAGCAAGCCCTTTAGCTGGACAGAGTGTGCCGCGCAATCGGTGTTCTGAATGGCAGCGGCACGACACAGGTTTTATGAAGTTCAGCATTGAGCGCTGTCACTCACTTTGATTAGGTTCGGCACGGCCAATAGCACGGCGTATAGCCTAAGCCGAACTTTCATGAAGTTTCAAGCTGAATAAGTTAGTATTTGCGATTGTAGAAGATGCTCTAATGTTTATTTTCTACAACCGCCAAAGAGAAGGCAAAAGAGCTGTCGGTCGTAGTTGCAGCAGTTGGTTGGCATGGGGTTACGCCATCTGTAAACTCTATTAGAAGGAGAAACTTGCTCAAAGTGATAAAAAGCACAAAGACATATTTGTGAATCGAGAACTCTTATCTCTTTTGGCTCCGATAGCAAATGATCACTCCCAACTGATCACTGCAGAGCTAAAAGCAGTGGCGTTACAAGGACTTTGTTTGCCGGTTGAAGAATAATAATTTCAACCAATTTGAGTGTCATTACGTGTACAAAAACACATCATAAGACAATGCACAGCGCACCCATATCTGAATATGGTTGTATTTTCGAAGCTCATCATTCAATGATTTTATCACCCATTTTCACCGCCCCAGTTTTGTATTTGTAATCTATATTACCGTCCCAAGTTTGTGTTTGACAGCATCCGAATTTCGCTTTAGAAATCTGCATCCCGTTGCATATCACTGCACCCCCCCCCGCTTACGATCACAATAATATGGGTTGGTATCAGATCTCACACTAGCTTACTGAACGTGATAACTCTTGAATTGATTTTGACAATGCGTATTTTACACATCGTAACTGAATTCCAAAGGGATTTATGAATAGGACAAGAAATGGTTAGGTCTGTCGCTGGTGCGTGATTTAAGGCAAGCGAGCTTAGAGCCTAAATAGAATATCGAATTTGTTGTTTCGTTCACAGCACAATGCAAAGCCGATATATCTCGATGGTGTACAAGCAGACTGGCGCCTTTCTGTGATCAGATGCCAGTCATCCGTAAACACTGCCCTGTCATGTGTGGTACATGTGCCTTGTAAAATTCTTATTTCTGTATTGTATGAATTGGTTGGTTTGTATGAAGTAAAACCGTGGATCAGAAGGAGACGCCAGGGCCAAAAAGAGATATTTGATGTTTTAATTTGATTTTTACTTCGACTCACTCTTCAGTTGTTTATCCGAACGATAGGGGTAGCTTAAACACCACTTCCACAAACTCTTGGTATCATTTCTTCTACTTTAACTTAAAATACATGTATTAAATTTTCAAGCTTCCACTTTTCCATGCACGTACAAATCCATTTTTCTTTCCTTTAACTGTATAAAGTTAAGTTCGATGATTCCTAAATTCTTATTTTGTAGTATGTTTTGTAAAGACACATTCACTTCATTTGGCATACTTAGCAGTTGTTCTATTTTTTTATTTATTTGTATTCAATAGTACATGTATCACGTTTCCTGTACAGTTGTCAATATTTTGCAGTTGTTTTGCAAATACATCCGGGACCTGATCAGCAGACACACTGTACACCAGTGTCACCACTTGATGTTGATTACTTACAAGGCAATGGATAAGCACAGATTGGAAGGGCGTGAATATTTCTCAACATATTTCATGAATGTAAAACATTCCAATGAAAATGAATGGAAGTAACTATTGCATGATTTGGGTGAATAATTGTTCATCGTTTCTTTATTATATGACGGACTTTTTGCCAAAGAAAGGGGAAAAATCTTGCAGCAGGCATGTTTTCTGTGAGAGAGCATGCCAACATGTGGCCCACCTTTAGGAAAAGGTGGAGAGTTTTCTTGACGGCAAGCAGCCAACAGTCCCTCGTATTGTGAATCTCAGAAAGATTAAGTTACCCAAAATGCCGGTCTTCATAATATTCTAAATCTGCAACAGAAGGCTCCGCTTTCTTTCGAGCATCCAGTGACAAAACGTCATTTAACATTAATGGTCCAATAAATACATGTATACCCACAGCTTCATTTGGTGAGATAGGTCTGTACTTTATGTATCCAATATTTACCTTATTCATCTGAAAACATAGTGTAACTTACCGGCAACAAACACGTTCCCCAATAAACACAAAAGAGTGACCTGTTTTCCAGAATACACCTATTTTATTTTTCAGTTTGCATCTCGGTAGTTTGTTTCAACTCAGCATCATCAAGAATTTAAAACAAAAAGCAAGCAGGCAAATATTTGATATCAGACGAAAGAGGAAAACTAGCTAAAATAAAGTATAAGTATACACTTGCATGTGGCTATAAGCAATGCACCCCCATTTCTGATTTCCTATTTGAAAGACACTATGTGTAATTGTTTTAAGTACCTGTTGCTCTTAATGTCAAGCATCTGATCCAAAAAACAACTGATACACAGATAAGTAAACATACACACATAAGTATAAAACCTTTCTTTTAAAACAGAAGTTAACTCGAGAACTATCAATTCTGAAATGGACCATCTGAAACACTGTGATGAGTACAGATGTCATCGTTCTCTTCTGTAATACTTTTTCTTAAAACACAGAAGTGTTTTGGCACATTCTGAATGTACTCAATAGAGAGACTGTGCACTTGTATCATATACAAGAGAATGACGACATCCGCTTACAGTTCTTTACTCAAGATTTCACACAGTGTTTGATTAAATTCAACATAATGTCCAAACGTATATTGGGAATACGAAGGAGCCAAAAATATTACCAGCTTTTTTTAATGACAGCATCAAGGAAAAACTTTGGCATATCAAACCGATAAACTGTATTTGTAAATGGTGAAAAACGTGATATTTTCTAGACATCCCGTTGAAGATACTTAGTACTGCTGTTCTTTGAATCAACAAAAACTGCAATCATAACTGATTTGTTGGAAATGTTTACCAACATTCAAGACTAATGTTCTTTCCCCTAATCATTCTGAATCCAACAAGCATACATATGATTTCATTAGTAACTGCAGAGTTAAGGTTAATAGTTTTTGTGTGTAATTTATTTCATCCTATTTGATCTCCTTACAAAGGCAAGTTTGTTTTGTACACACACATCCACAAAGACCAAAAGATCTGTGGAGGTAGTCCATGTGTTTGAACTTGAACTTAACTGCTGCAAATGACCCTTCAGGGTGTTGAAAAATAGGAAGTTGTGGTGAGAAATACTCGACATATACAGTTCTATCTTGCCTTTTTTAAAAGGTTGACATTTTCACCAAAAATTATACCACAGGTAAAAGGTTAAACTAGTAACTTTTTAAGGGTGCACAAGAATGACATTACAAAGTGTAACAATTGAATTCATAATGACTTCCCTGAATTCCAACAGTTTTGGTCACAGCAAGGCAACATGTACCGGTACATGATTATGTGCCTACGATTTTCAGCCTGTAAAAAGGATGGATACGTGAACTCAGAACTTTCTCTTCCTCTTCTTGGCTGCACTCTTTTGTAGCTTCTTCCGCAACTAGAAAACAAAAGAAGACTTAAATTAGTTTCATCATTTGTGTGACAGCATTATAAACGAGATCACGGATGAACAGAAAAAATAGAGCACTGAATCGGAGTGACTCATTGAAACTTTTACAAAATTTTCAGTTTCAGCCCAAACAAAAGCTTGGATTATCCAGTTAAGTAGAGAACTATGGAATATTTATGTCTACATTTTTAATGAAATGCATAATGAAATAGTTGATGCCAAAGGCCATGTAAATACAATTAGGTAATCTCTATTCATAGGGGCAGATAACGAGATTCCAACGCCAACCCTTCTGTGAACTATTTCCAGTAACAGCATGCACGCCTAAACCGAATTTGTTTTGTACACACAAATGACCACAAGTCTGTGGTGGAAAACTGCAGGCATGTTGAACTTGACAGCTGTGTACAGCCTGCCTTGTTGCAGATATTGCTTTGTAGCAAGTCCTTGGAGTATTGCAAATTGTAGGATTGCAATGAGAAATACATGTACCATACATTGTACAAATGACTGTCAAGTACCGTACATTGTACAAATGACTGTCAAATACCATACGTTCTACAAATGACTGTCAAGTACCATACGTTCTACAAATGACTGTCAAATACCATACATTGT